ATATATATATATATGTGGGCTGATTCAAATGTTAACCAATATTATTGTATTAAATTTGTTAACCAATTTTCGCAATTGATTCTTACAATAAACGGTTATGATTAATCACGATTTTTTAAATTTACAATTTCAAAAAATATATGTGAACAAAGCGAAAAAAGGTATTTAGGTAATTTTTTTTATGTAACTCCCATATCATTAATTGGGACTTACAAAATCAAAAACTTCCATTATTTTTCTTAATTTATTTTTGTTAATATAAGAACCATACGAACACACACACACACATATATATATATATATATATATGAACCATTGTGTAAAATACGAACAAATTGACATATATATGAACTTGAACTACATAGCATTTATGAACACAATATGAACATAAAAAGAATAGCTGTTATACGAAAGAAAATAAATAAAAAGAACATGTATGAACTCAATATGAACAGCTTGTGAACAATAATTCCTTCATATTAACACATTTAGGAGCGAGCCAATTTTGAGATACACAGTTAATGTACATATGAACACGTAGTTCATTCATTATGAACAATTGTAAACAATAGTTCATTCATTATGAACATATTCAAAAGCGAGACAATGTTGAAATATGCAACTAGTGTACATATGAACACAATATGAACAACTTGTGATCAATAGTTCCTTCATTACGAACATATTCAAGAGCGAGCCAATGTTGAGATATGCAACTAATGTACATATAAACACTTATAAACACACACAGTTCATTAGATGCCTTGATTCATGTCCCTAATAGAACATATATGAACACAACTGAATGTATATGAGAAGTAGTTGCAGTGTATGGCAGGTCAAGGATCACAAACAGCTGATGGAGCCGAATGGTTATCAAAATTGGATTGCATAACAAATCAAGTTGACGATGAACTCATTCTATTTGAACATATGAATTGGGCTCGTAGTAATAATTAAAGAAAAGCTACCAACACAATATGAACTATAAAAAAACATAAAAACGTCATAATCAACATAATTTCGATTAAAACGAATACAATAACATATTAATCCATTACCAATACAAACGCTTTGATTATTGTCTTTACTTCCGGAACTCGAATTCCGATTGCCATCATAAACCATTTTAACCTTCTCATTGTTGTCGAGTTGTTTTCCAATTAGTTTATCCATATTAGCTTGAACGATATCGAAAACTTTACTATCGGGGCTCCTTTAGCAATCACAAATTCAAGAACATTATAGATAGATAAATCAATATTATAAAAAAAACAAGATCAATAGTAAATCAACAACAATTATGAGATTTTTTTTTTGATTTTGTAACTCCCAATAATTAATGATATGGGAGTTACATACAAACTAAAATTATATATTTACCATTGTCATTAAATTATGAGATGAATAAGAACCTAGATAAAAGATGGATTTTCATTGATTGAGGTTTGTTAACACAATAATCTTTGTTAACATTTAAACCAAACTCTCTCTCTCTCTCTCTCTCTATATATATATATATATAAATTGCATTATTTACTAGCTAATTCTAACGTGCCGTAAGTGACACTGGCGTCTTTATAAAAACATGTTCTAAAAATAGATAATTTTTAAACTATGAATCATCAAATCTCTCTTTAAAATATGTTAAAAAATATGAATCTCTATTTTAAACAACACCATACACGTGGATTGATGATATTAATTAATGTCTTCTCATTTTCCATTACAATGTGATAATGAAAAAAGTAGTGCAACACGTGAAGCACATTCGTAAGTACAAAATTTCACTATTATCGCCTTTAATATCGAAGAATGTTTGATATCATCGGACCCGTACACGTGGGTGACTCATTCTTGACAACTACATGCATAAAAACATAATGTTTGTGGTTACCAAATGTGGCAGTTATTTGTGTGATTTGTTTGTTATATCTTTTCTTGCAAATATTGTCATTAAATTAAAACATTTGATTTAATAAATTGGATTGGATATTCATCATGTCAAAGAACTCATATTCTAACAAATAATTTAAGATTGTGATCATTAATGATATAAGCAGTTGATCTATTCTATTGAGCTAGATAAAAATTTGTGAATTCTTATAAATAAGATTAAAAAGTAGGCATTATTGATGGACATTCGACAATAAATCAACATATTGTGATTTTATGAACTGTAAATGGAGTGTTTTTCTTTGTTGACAACTTTTTTGTTCAGATCGCACCTTGTTTGCTTTTTCTTCTTTCAAAAGCAAATGATATAACCAAAATGGCAGCTTTAACCATTCTTGAGGGCCATGCACTTCTTCATTTAACTTAGAACTAACACCAAACTAGTAGTAACTATATTCTATAAAAGGTTATATTATTCCCTTTCCAAGTTAGAACCCTAGCAGTCTAGCACTGAATACAATATATGCTCAAAATAGAATCTTTATATTTATATATTGTTAGGGAGTTTGCTTTGTGTAAATAGGATGCTTTGACACGATTATCATTACGTAACTGAGAGATAGAATTGTCATTGGATATGTCATATGTCATGTAACGGTACAAGCATGGATCAGGAAACGATTTGTTCCTCCTGTATGAACACGAGAGACATATTTGGTCCTCTTGATTGAATAGACTTAATTAAGGAAACATATGCATGCTCAGATGGTCGATATTTGATATTACTATTTGTTTTGTCAAAACATTCAAGAATCAAGAAACTAGAGATTTGAGATAACTGGGATGACACATCCATGCCACATCTTTAATTTGGACATGGAAAATAAAGAGACAAAAGATTTGCTGCAATAATGTCCAAGTTTGTCGAGCTTGGAAACGGCTAATCGTGGTTCACATGCATACATCTTGGGACCATTTTTGCATATTTACAACATAACAAATTAATTTCTTATTTGTTAATGGATATAAAAAATGTTATAGACGTGCTCTTTAATATAACTAGATACGATGACCTATACCAAATGAAAGGGATATGAGTGCTTCCAAACTTTTGGGACAGCTCTTATTAATTTGTTGGTTTTATATGGCAATTTCAAACTTCTGTGTTGGCTCTTATTTATTGGTAAGTGACGTCTGAGAGGGATATGATGTATTCATCCCTTGTTCTTAGAATTTTCGATTGGATTTATAAAATTTAAAAATCAGATATGCATTTCAGGGGCTATTGTTTTACATTATGTTTTTGAGAATTGAAATATTTAGTGTTTTGGTTTATAAGATTTTGAATGAAATTGTATTTCACTTATTTTTATAATTTATAAGGACAAATTATGAATAATTATGAAATAGGAATTTAATTTCCCTTAATTAATTTATTATTACAAAATAAATGTTTTTAATATATTTTAAAACATTATTACAAACAAATCATATGAAATCGTGTGAATTCTCGACTACCCCCAAGGAATCTTTAAATCCAATGATTTTGGGTCACACTTTCCTTTAAAACAAACAGGAGATTGGAATAAAATTCAATTTCAAATCTCACCAAATCTCGTAATACAAACGGTCAGGACTGACCTATGAAATCCTGAATGAGTCTCTTGCACCCGCCCAACTTATTTTTGCATGTATACTTTTTTTGTGTATAAAAGGTGCACCCGTTAAGCTTTAAAGGTGCTTTGGGATATTAAAAAAGTACAAGGAACATCAACAAAATTAAAGACTGAAAAAGTCCTTCAAGATAAACAAAGAAATCAACCGAAAAAAGTACCTCAAAATTAACCAACAAAACTTAAAAATCATCGATATCAACAAAAAAACTTAAAAACATCTCTCGAAACGGTTGAATTCGTTTCTAACACATCAAACAACTTGTTGGGTCTTTGATCCACGGTGCAACCACTCTGCAAAAATCCTGAGTTTGTTGCTACAAAAGGTTTATTGAAAATTTTTGGAGGATTTTGTAAACCTGATTAAATTTTTATTAAGTCAAATATTGCTTTCTGTTGGAAATTCGTTGGAAAATTTTAAAATTTCTTACGAATTTTGGATGAATTCGTAAAATTAATCAAAAAATATTTTCTATTATTGATGGACTTTATGAAAATGATTTACACCACACGAATAAAAGACCAAATATAGTAGTTATGTAGCACTCTTACCACCTCATTGATACATCCCCATCATATAAAATGGACCAATTTAATGGCAAGTTATGGACATACTTGAACAGTTTGGGACCAAGTCATCAATCGCCACCAGTTTGGGACCAAGTCATCAATCGCCACCTTATCATCTAGTTTGCCAAATATAGCTGAAGTGTTCAATAACAAGTTAATTTAATGGACAAAAGGGAAATCAATTATTTTTAAATCATCTCCCCTTTTTGTTCCATCAAATCAGCTTATAACGTATATCCTMATTAATTTCTTTTAAGTCAAATGTGGCTTTCTGTTGGTAAATCGTTGGAAAATTCTAAAATTTCTTACGAATTTTGAATGAATTCGTAAAATTAATAAAAAAAAAATTATTTTCCATTATTCATGGACTTTATGAAAATGATTTACACCACATCATAGAAAATAGACCAATTTAATAGCAAGTTATGGACAAATTGGAATAGTCTCTGACCGAGTCATCAGCCGCCTCCTTATCATCTAGTTTGCCAACATAGTTGAAGTGTTCGGTAACAAGTTAATTTAATTGATGAAAACAAAATTAGTTAAGTTATTTAATTTATCTCCCCTTTTTGTTCCATTAAATGAGCTTATAACATTTATTCTTACATTAGTTATAATTCGTCTTTTTATTCTCTATTTTTAATGAAGTAATTATGTGTCACGTTGATAGAAGGAAAATGAAGAGATATATTTTTTTTTATTAACCTGGATATCCAACTCGCCATACGAGCCAACTAATTTGACGACTAGTTCCTTGATTACAATTCCTACCACAGGCTGCTAGTGGATTATAAATGGTAGGCTCTGGGTGATGGAAGGATCATCTTTCATTCAACCATTAATTAGCAGAGAACATTGTGTGTCCGTGTAAGGAGGTTATTATGGGAACGTGTATCCAAATGCAATCAAGAAAATTCATAAAACCCTCCATTCCAACTCCTCCAACCCTCCGTCACTATAAGATAGGCTTCACCGATGAATTTGCTCCAGTTATGAGTGTTAGTATTGCTCTCTTCTTCTCCATCGATAGCGATAACAACCCAAAGTTTGTCACCCAACTGGAGAAGTCACTCGAGAAGACCTTAACGCAATTCTACCCTCTAGCTGGTAGATATATAGAAGAAATTCACACTGTCGATTGCAATGACCAAGGTGCTGAGTTCATTAGTGCCCAAGTTAACATCAAACTTCAAGATTTTCTTGATTCTGAATATAACTCTAACCTTGTCGACAAATTCATTGCTTCCAAAGTGCRGGTTTCTGATCAAGTTACKGACCCGRTACTTGCAATTCAAGTGACGACGTTTCAGTGTGGAGGTGTAGCACTTGGTGTAAGCATTTCACATAGAATTGTTGATGCCTCCACTCTCAGTACATTCCTGAATGGATGGGCAACTATAAGCCGAGAAGAAAATGAGGCTGGATTCATTCAGYTGGGCTTYYACTCATCCTCTTTGTTTCCTACTTTGGGTCTAACTCCTCTTGATCCAAGACTTGCTGGGTCAAGAAGAAATGATTTACCAAGCATGAACAAAGTCATGAAGAAACTRTCATTCAGCGAGACTRTSATATCAAACATGAAAGCRAAGGCCAGGCTCAATGGAAAARCYGRTGACCATCGATTGTCAARAGTACARTTGGTATCGGGGTTGATATGGGAAGTTTTCATGGATGTTGATAGAGCGATACATAATTATTCAAGAGATTCTGTTCTCATCCAGACAGTAAATCTAAGGGGAAAAACTGCATCCTTAATACCCCAAAATTCGTTTGGGAATCTTTGGGGGCTATTAATCACAGAATGCAAGACTGGTGAAGGGTTGGCATATCTTTTAAGAGAATCTGTTAAGAATGTCAGAGATATCTACTCAAAGGTATGCCTTGACAGCGATGAAGGGCAAACAATGGTTTTGAATTCCTTCTCACAGATAACCAACATTCCTTCAATGACAGACGTGATCTGGTTAACTAGTTGGTGTAAGATTCCTTTTTATGATGTGGACTTTGGTTTCGGAAGGCCCGTTTGGGCAAACCACGGGAGCTGGTTTCTAAAAAATATGGTATATTTAATGGACGATGTGGAAGGTAATGGAGTGGAAGCAGATGTTTGTGTTGGAACAGAAGTTGTCCCTTATTTTGAACAAATTCTGAACTCAAAAGGGTTTGCTATAGGGATTTCAGGTGTATGATTTCAAATGTTCTACCTCTCCAGATGTTGTTTGGCATGGGATTCTTCTGTTCTCCATTTCTAGGTTTCATTTAGCTACTTAGGCATCTGTGTTTATTTGCATGGTTAATTTTCTCCCTTTTTTTTTTCTTAGTGTGCTTCTCTACTTATAAGTAATATAATTCATCATTACCAAAATGAGAGAAGAGGGTGTATCGACTTATATGAAAATGATTTACACCACACATCTAAAACGCCAAATGTAGTACTCGTACGCCAAATGTATTACGCGTACTACCTCAGTGCATGCTACGTCCCCATCATTATCTTTTTCATCATCATCATCATCTTTTATATCATGCATATACTTGAATATTACGTACATCAATACAATAAAGTTATCATCATATGCATATAAACACATCATGCAAATATCATGGACAAAATACTTTGTAATAATATATATCCCATACAAATCGCATAATATATTCACCTTGAATCGTTAGCATTAGATAGGTTCTTTTTTTCGAAAACCGCAACCTACATGATAATTCATACCATTCGTAAGCACCATAGATAATCGTAACTAAATTGATCATTATTCTCCAACACGATTAATCTTAACAAATTTTATTAATCAACCTCCGATACCATCATATCTCATATTTTGCGCAAATATTTTCTTGAAATATTATTAATAATGTGAAGTTGTTATAAAATTAGTTGCCGCTCGTACATTTTATAAAAATGTACAATACACTTCACATTTATTGAACAACAAATATAAAATGAAGCTTATATACCATTGCCCAAGACATAAAGTAATTGCTAAAATACCGATTTTCAAATTATAGGATTATTTTGGTAATTTTATAAAGATAATAATATAAAATGAAGCTTATATACCATTGCCCAAGACATAGGGTTATTTCGATAATTTTATAAAGCAAATACGTAAATGATTGTTAAAATACCGATTTTCACATATATGGTCGTTTGGTAATTTTATAAACATAATATAAAAATGAATCTTATAGAGCAATCTTCAAGACATAGGGTTATTTCGGTAATTTTATAAACAAATATATAAAGTATCTCTAATATACCGAATTCCAATTATATGGTCGTTTTTTGGTGATTTTATAAAAATAATAATATAAAAATGAAGCGTATAGACCAATCCCGAAGACATAGGGTTATGTTGGTAATTTTATAAAGCAAATACGTGAAATATCGCTAATATACAGATTTCCAAATATAGGGTTGTTTTAGTAATTTTATAAAAATAATAATATAAAAATAAAACTTATAGGCCAATCCCCAAGACATAAGGTTATTTCGGTAAATTTTAGAAGCAAATATGTGAAGTATTGCTAAAATACCGATTTCCTATTTATAGGGTCGTTTTGGTAACTAAACGAGATAAATAATCAAAATTGGGTCAATGTTTGCATTTTACAAAATCCAAATAGAACTTGATGAAAGTTTCAAAAAATAATATAGAGAAAATTATATTTTTGGAACTTCCGGGGTTGTAATGATATTTATTAAAACTTGTAAATACATTATAATGGAATAAGAAGATTTTGGCGTGTTAATAAAATGCAAATAACGAGTTAGCTTGGTTGGTTAAGGCGTTGGTGTTGTAGCTTATACCCTGACTCTTAAAAAAGCTTATACCATTTTTCTTCAGAAGCAGGTTATGGGCCAAATCTTGACCCGTTCGACCCGGCTGTAAACCTTATGAAAACAGCGGCCATGACTGCACGTTTTCAAGGTCTTAAAGCTTGAAAATGGATCGTTTTTTGATCTTTTTTCTTCATTCTTTTTGCACCAAATTCTTGATATATTTTTATCAACATTTTTTATATGAATAACATGAATTTTCATCGTGAAATGAGTTCCATTTTCTCATTTAAAATTTTGTTTTTAAAACTAAAACTCAACAACCACAAAACATAAAAATCAAACCATATAAAAACAAATATGAGACATGAGGCTAATGGGGTTTAATAAAGTACCTAAAAACCATGTGATTTAATTAAGAATCTCACCCAAAATCTGTGAGAAAACCGATATTTTCAACTCGAACTTCAAACTCAGATTTCTCTCTCAATATATGCTTATTTTCTAAACTATTTGAATGAAACCGATCTTAAGTCAGTGTTCTATATTTATATACAAGAGTTTTGACTTATTAGTTGACGAAATTAGACCAAATCATGAATTATTGATTGTGAGGTCGTTTTCTCCAAACAAACATGTACTGTTGCCAAAACAGGTCCTTCATATTTGAAAAATATGACATTCGGCCCCCTGAACTTTCTGACATTTACAACCGGACCCATCCTGACGTGATAATTTACATTTTGGCCCAAAACAAGTTTAAACCCTTAATACTTTAATTAAGTGATAGATTTGGCCCCTCTCAACTCATTCATTTACATTTTTCGTCCAATAAAATAAAAGCCAATTTTTTATTTTATTTTATGTTTTTCCTTTCTTTTCATTGTTTCTTATTTTAAGATTTCTACAATTAATCACATCATTATTTTAATACTTCAAATAGAATTAAAAAAAAACAATATTTTAAGACTCGTACAATATTATTTTTATATATTTAAAGTTTTGGGTTTTACACCCATCTAGAACCCTAATCTTCGAACCACAAAGTCAAAATATGTCCAAGATTTGGAGATGCAAGAGATGGTGGATGTTAGAGGGTGATAGTGATGTCTTTGATGATGGTGGATGTGGAGGCGGATGGGACCATTCTTTCTTTGGGACCATCATCTACCACTCGGGTTATTTCATCATGGTTCAATTAAGTTGGGTACAAAGCTTCGATTTAGGGTATCTTCTACTCAAGATTTTATGGTTTTAGATTGATGGATTACCAATTATTGTATCTTCTACTTATATTTTTGGGTTAATGATGGGAACAGGGGATGGGTTTGAGGTTTGATGTTCGTTTTTTTTTTTAATTTAGATTTTGTTTTAGGTTTAGACTTAATTTTTGGATTTGAAGTTTAAATTGATATCTTGGATTTTGAGGTTCTGATTTAGGACGTGAGAAATAGGCGGGAGGGTTGTAGATCCCAGATTCACATCAAAAACAAGATTGGTTACACTCTAAGGATTTGGCAGTGAAGAACAGAGTGTTTTGGGAGCTAACCTGATTTTATTATTCAAAAAACACAAAGCTTACAATACGACTCTTATAATGATTTCTAAGCCGATGACACCTATTTATAGGTGCCAATACCACATGAAAGCCCAAAGCCCATTTACAAAGTAAATATTATTACAATATAATACAATAACTTTATGAAACTTTCACTATCTTGGGGTTAATCTAGACCCAACAATCTTCTCCAAAGTTTTATAAAGAAAGCATCTTTTGAAGCATCAAATTATCTCCCCCAACTTTCTTTGGAAAGCTTTAGTGTTGCTCGTCTTTAAAAAACATTTCAAGCTCACCCTTGAATAAATCTCTTACTCTTCAGTTTCAACTTTAATATCAAATTAAATTTGCATTTAAAACCACTGATTGCACCAACAAGCATCTTTAAACTGTAGACAACTCAACACAACCATTAACCTCAGAATCTCAGCCGGCCCAAAAGCATATTGAATCATCCAACAATGGATAGATAATGTGCGAGTTACATGACATTCCACTGTGCAGAATCAATCTAATAACAAAGAATCTTTATTTGAACCCCGAGTTGGATAAACTTTCAACTTAAGAACTTGTTCTGATAAGCTCACAAAATGGGGTTTCGAAGTATTTTAACTTACATCTTGAACAAATAGAGCAAACACCTTTTGACAATGAAGTTCGGAGAGATACAACACTGAAAATATAGCTTCTTGATCAGCAGCTGTCAACCAAGTAAGATAAGTCGATTCCTTCATCTATACTACATTAATAAGCATTTAAGTCAATATCGTAATTACAACCTTCTAAGCATAAGTTACAATCATTTTAAGCAAGGATTTTAAAAAAACTCTTAATTACAAATTATCATACACAATGTACAAGTTATTTATGCAAGCGTTTCATACAATCCCAAATCCTAATTGAGTCAATCCTTCTTTCTTCTTTTCAGAGTTCTAAAATCACCAATTTGGCCACTTTCTTCTTCTTCTTCTTCTTCTTCTTCTGTATCCGATCACTGCCTTCTCTGCTCTTACCAATTTCAGATTTCAAATTTCAAATTTCAAATTTCAAATTTGAAATGATTCTTGAAGGGTCTTAGAGAGAGACTTGGCCTCAAAAATACGATTCAAGCTTAGGGTTTAGGGTCATCCTCTTCGAAGAGACACTCATCCCTTACTCAAAACGATTCAGCTCATCCTCTTCGAAGAGACACTCTCTATCCATCACTCAGGATTTAATCTCAGTCTATCACTCTCATCCAGGTAATCACTCTCCATCAATTTTGGTTCACTTTTTTGTACCCTCTTCCCGAGACTTCTTTCTATCACACTCTCCTTCTTTCTTGGTTTGTTGGTTTCTTGCTCTGATGTTCTTTTGCTTTTGTCTGTTGTTATCATAAACAGTTGCATAGTCTACAACAAAGGAACAACTATAGTTGAATTGCCAGAGTTTACAAGAGAGGAAATTTTGGGAAGAAACTATCGGTATGAAGCTTCAACTTTTAGATAATTTTGATCTAAAAATATGCTTCTTCTTTTTAAATTTTATATTTGTAGCATTTGTGAATATCTATGTATATGGATACAGTAGAGAATGCAAACAGTAAATTAACAATGCAGTTGATCTGTCCAATTAATTGACCTCTGAAGGATATACAATTAGTTGTATAGATGGCTATTAGGATTTACAGTTTTAATTGACTTAATTCCTGTATTTATTAGATCTGTCCAATTGAGAGCTAAAACAAGCTACAATGCATACATACCGTTGTGTGCCTGCTATTGCAATGCATACATACCCTTGCTGCAATGCATACATACCAAATATAAAACATATTGTAGATCTAATTAATGTATATATTATAGATTTAATCAATGTATATATTGTAGATTTAATCAATGAAAATACTATACTACCTCTGTATGTAAATACTAACTTTTCTGTTTTATGTAAATGCACCTATATAGTCCCAGGTAATCACAAAGAACTGAAAAACCAGTACAAATCCTTGTGCCAACACTGCTTCTTCAA